CGCCTCTCGCCCTATGACAGCTGGGATAGGCTCCAGCGCCCCCTGCGACCCTGAAAAGGATAAGCGGAAGCGAATGGATAGATGGACTACTACGCAGTCAGAAAATCATGTGTCTAAAATAACAGCAGGAATCAGCTGACATACTGGAATATTATTGGTCCTGAAATTCCTATACTTGTTTAGGCTCTAAACATCCCTTAATATCAAGGAGAGCAGGTGAACACACATGTTCCAGCTTATTTGGTCTCTCCAGATAAGGGAACACAGTGTGTCTCTGCATTGTTAACAAGCAGCCAGGCTGTCCTTAAGTCTTTTATAGATGCAAAACACCCCATCATACTTCTAAAGGCTTCAGTGAGAATGACATTCCTGTCGAGACTTCACCATACGGGGAATCAGCTCCTGAAACAATCCACTGCAGGCATGAAATTCAAGCTTAGTTCCTTTAATGGATCAGTACGATTTAACACATTTCATAATGTGCAAAACTGTCTCCATTTAAAGTTTGTGCTGCAGTCTTTGCTGTTTCACTACTGCTCCGCAAATAGTTGGCAAGTGTTTGCAGACAAGTCAGAACTTAGCATGCAAACCACAGGCAACCACGACAATCTGCTAACAACCAAAGCAATCGCAAGGAGGTCTCAGTTTACCAAAAATAGCAACCAATTTTACTGAGTAACTGCCAGCAGCCCCCAGTAGGTTTTTAAGGAGTAAGATATTTAAATGGATCTTAGAATGAAACAGGAACAACAAACAAAACACACTGCAGAACGTTGGAAAACAAACTTCAGATGACGTTTGGACTGTGCAGTGAATTGATTCATCGTGAAAAAGGCTCGGCAACCCCTGGTGGAGCAACGGCATAGCAGAAAACAGAGCTAACCTGAATGTTAGGAGATGCACTTTTCGCCTCTCAGTCAGACACCATTCATTTATTTTTCATTGAACTTGAAGCCGCAACACTTTTGGAAACCCTCAACAAGTAGAGGAATCTCTTAACCACCCATTTGCACGCTTAACCTCAACACTGATCAAGATTAGATGAGTCATTAGCGGAATTCGTGGGGATGAGATGGGTAAACTTATACTCAGCATGATCACCCCAGATCACCTTGCATGTTCACTTGTTAAATCAAAATAGCTTTTACATGAAGTTTGCATGCCGTGCAAATGCAGGATGCTGCATGACGTGTTGTTGTTAAGGCTCAAGGATTTTAATCTTATTTGTTTAAGACATTTATTCACAAAGGTCTAAGAAAGGGCATTTATCTGAGTGGACTGAGTAGACAAGAAGCACTTGACAGAGCGGAGGTTTCTTCTTTCTAAATATACACTTTGGGGACGATATACAGCGCTGGCTTTATATAAAGTTTACTTCTAAAGAGGATTTGCTTATGCAGGTTTGACTTGGAGGTGAGCTGCATCTTTTCTGCACCGTGTTATACACAATGTTATGTAGATGAGCTTTCTTTTCCAGAATAATTGTGTTTGGTTGTCGCTGTCGAGTTGTGATTTTGGCCGCGTTATGTGTCTATATTTGTGTGTTGGTTGGAAATAATTTTGCTGTTTAAAAGTCAGTTTGTCATGTCTTTGCAAATTAGTCTCCTTGAGGACCGATTTAACATTGATTTCTTTTAGTTTTCATTAAGTGTGTTTGCCAGCAACATGACGGAATAATGAAAGTTTTGGGGTTTTGTGGAGTGTGTGTCTTATTGGTTATCTGGTAATGATTTGTCTGGTCTGCATGCATTAGACTCTGCTTGTTCAGAATTGGAAAAACAAATTACTGATTACCGTTAAATGTGTGTATTATATGTGAGTGTGTGGTAATAACAATATGAATCTTGAATGATTCATACTGCTGATTGAGTGCCATACTGCCCGCAGGACAGTGATGATGGACTGTGTGTGTGTGTGTTGTGGGTGTGTGGGTGTGTGGGTGTGTGCGTTCACTGTTCTGCTCACAGCAAATGATAATGAGGAAGTTGTTTTGGCTGAGCTGCTGCAGTTTGTTTAGTTGCTTTGTTGTTAGTGCTCAACTTTTTAATGACATTTTATATTCTTTCACATTTGTTTGTGTAGAAGCACAAGAAGAAATTTAAAAAAAAAACTTAAATACTGACTTTCAAAGAAGGAAGCAGACCCTGATTTAATTGCTTTACTCGTGATATCTGTAATCAGACATTAGACCACCTGTTATATGTTCTTTATTTCATCATCCCTGCAGGTAATAGCATGTGAGCAGCAGTTGGACTCCACCTACGACGCCCGTTGTGATGTCTGGTCCCTGGGCATCACAGCTATAGAGCTAGGAGATGGAGACCCACCCCTCTCTGACCTCCACCCAATGAGAGCCCTTTTTAAAATACCCAGGTAAACCTGCCATAATGGCATCATATTCTGAATGAATTTAAATGATCCGGTTCTTATGACAAATCTGAGCTGAAGGTTGCAAATAAACCAAAAACATGTTGTGCTCTCTTCAAAAATGAAGATGTTTGATTCTCAATAAGACATATTTTATGTTTTATCGAACTGGACTCTGCTTCAAGGCTAATGGCAGCTTTCCTGCACATAATTAAGTTCTCATAGAAATAATTTACTTAATTTAATTTGTACTGTGTTCGCATTTTGTTTATGTAATGTGCTTTTACATTTTTGATATCTTGAAAGGTGCTATTACAGATTAAAGCTATTATTATGCTGTTTTGCCATCCCTGGATTTGATAGAGCTGAGTTATGACTTTGTCAAAGTGATAAAATAATGACTACCCTTTTAATTCGACCCTGTTGTGCATCTTTTCTTTTTTTCTTGTTTTGTCCTCTGAAACACTTTTCATGACTTTTTAATTACAGCTGAGAAAACACAGCTCATTTTGAAAATGTGAATACAGGCATGAACAGTATTAAGCTTTCAGTCTATATCAGTAAATACATAGATAGTACTCAATATGAGTTTATGGATATTTTTTTCTGTAGGTTTTAGAACCTAAAATAGTCTTAAAAACTAAAGTAACTAAACAGAAACCGTCAAATACACTCTGAAAGAAAATAAAGATAAAATTTAATCGGAAACTACAAAATTATAACCACTCTGTTTTCATCTTTAAAGCTGGAACCATGCATGCAAATAGCCTTTGCCTTAAGATACAGCTCACCGCAGGCAGAAGTAAAACGAGATGATATTTTCTTCACTACCCTGATACGGACCATCTCACAAGACTGGGCATGTTTTCATTATCTGACTCCTCGGCTTGTAAAGATAGCATAATGTATAGCGCTTGCGCTGCAATAAAGAAAAGTCCTCTCCTACTTCCAACATAGTGATTTGTGCCTCTATACAGACTGTCACCACACTAAGTACAGTCTTTTTAGTTCAAATGGCTTTTTTCTGCTTGCAGGGCTTTATCCATTACATACTCCCTCCCTGGCACTCATCCCAATGATCCTGCTGGGAGGAGGCTGCGGGCAAAGCCTCTCTTTCTCTTTGTTTCTACTGTGAGCTGAAGCTGATTTTCTAATTGTTTATCTTCACCTGATTTCAGTGTGAGAGCATTTAACCAGCACAGCACAGCTCTTTGGCCATCACTGCCCTGAAACACGCACACGCCTACACACACAGACTGCTGCTGTGTCACGGCTGTCCTGTGTGTTTGCTCTGGGGGTCGTGCTCCGACGGAGCCATCACACAGCTTTCTCACAATCTATGTGACTGCTGCAGCCAGAGCTCCGGGCTCCCTCTTCACACTCCTCACTTCCCTCCGCTCACTACTCTGGCTTCATTTGTCAAGCAGTCTTGGAAAAAGCCACGCTGAGGGCATTAGTTCATCCACTCTCTCTTATTTAGTACACATTTGCCCTCCCCCTCCCCCTGCCCCCCCAAACAGCAGACCACCGAAGCCATTCTTCATTTTTATTATGATTGTTATAATCCTGATTTTTCTATCAATAACTAGTATGGTTATTTTTTATCAGTACAGTTTTACCTACTAATTGCAGCACACAAGAGCTTGACACAATGCATGCAAACATATAATACTATAATGTATTTTATATACAGTGATGCCATACAAGCCCATACAGTTTCTCTATTGACGTTTCTTGAGAATTGTCTGCCATATTGGATGTGATGCAACCAACAGTTTGTAGGGTAAAATGCATAAAATCTGCTAGTTGGCAAGTTGTTTCTTGACGATTGCTGGCTGTTGCTGAGTGAAATGGATTGCAAAGCTGGCACTGCATCAAAAGCCTCCTTGTGTTTACTACGGTTGCTGCAGCTCCCTGTAGTTTGTATGGACGGCGCTTACTTGTCTAAAAACTCTCGCAAACCAAACACAAACCAGAAATGGAGAATGTTTGCCTTAAGTAAGTCGCAGCTCAGCTCTGCAGCCAACACACTTAAGAAGTCGCAAATTTTAACTCTAGATTGCTTTGGTAAACAAAGCAGTTGGTATACATGGTTGACTCAACGGCTGCAAGGTGCAAATCAGCCCATCACCCCTCCACCACCGTGCTTGACAGTTATGCTATGTTTGTGTTTTGCCAAATGTGGAGCTGTGAAACATCGCCACATTGGTCCTGTCTGTCCAAGAACATTGTTCTAGGAAGGTTGTTCCCATTTAGGAAGGTTGGTAACTGTGTTGAAATGATGCGCAGAAGTAATTGTTTCTTTCCTCCTTGGTATTGTGTTAACACAGACCTGAATCCTCCAGACCTGCAAACTAACAAATCTTCTACTTTCATAGAGAAGATCAGACTTGCTGATGATCATTTAACTAAGTGCATTTGATAAGCAGCACCTGGCTGATACGTTTCCTATTTATTCCTATGGAAGGCTGTACTTAGCACACACAATGTTTCTGCATGTTTGATTTCACTTTTGTGTAAATAGTGTAATATGTCATGTGTTGCTCTTCATATGTGGTTGTATTTATCTAACTTTAAGTCCTCCTACGGACCAGATTACTTTCATTACGTACTGATGGCTTATTTTCGACATGATTGTTATATTTTGCCAATGTATCATGAATTATGAAAAAACATAGGTCCATACTGAAAGGAGTGTGCAATGGATACATTGTATCATATTTCAACATATGGAGCTGAATCCAAAAAGATAAAGAGCAAACATACAGAGGAACAAGTCCAGTAGTCTTTTATGTTGTTTCCTCATTGCCTTATATTTCAAGGTTCAAGTTTCTTTATTTGTCACCTTGAAACTTGAACCATGAATTTAAATAGGAAGAGAAAATGAGGAATGCAGAGAAGGACTAAGACAACAGTATATGTATGGAAGTCAAATCTGTGCTCAAAGCTTCGGTCTCTGGAGTGGATAAAAGATTTAAAGTGCTATTATAATTGTGCTCAGGTGTTAATAGCTAAGCTTTCATTTTCATTATGTGTAACAGAGAGGATTTAAACTTGCTTCCAATACTTTACTAAGTGAACTTTTGGCAGGCAAAACTGAACAAATTGCTTTAGCGAACTGGGGTACAAACAAGAAATTATATTTAAAACAGTCCAAGTCCTTGTAGCCTTTATAGAGCTTTAAAAAGTAGCTTTATTATTCAGGTAGCCCAATGCAACTACCCCAAGTTATCTCTGCAGGGCTCTCTTTGTCTTTCGGGTAAGAAAAACACTTTAATGATCACAGTATTAGCTGAACAGCCTGAAAATAAAGGCCTGATGCATTTGCTGTCTATATTGGTTGTGTTGTGTGATAAAAAGGAGACGAATGTCCTCTCATTAGACCAATTATTTGCTGTCAGAGCCAACGTGCGAAAGGCCTCCATGCATTAACAGGCAGCCGTGACTTCGCTGCCGAGTACCTGGAACCCTCTCGTAAAGAGGTACTTAAAGCCGAACAGGGAATCCAATTAGCCGAGTTGTTTTTCTGCTGTGAGGCCTTGTTAAGTTTAACCCCACAACAATGTGTGTATGTTTTCAGGGTAAAGTATTTAAGAAGTTCTGGTTTGAGTCTATACACAAGTTTCCTAAAACCAGCTGTAACGATACCATCCAGCTGCACTGCTCTGATGGCTGAAAGCTACCACTTTTTGACACCAGAGAAACACCTCTGGATGCCCTCAGTGACGAATCGTCCCAGCCTTCTGTTCTCCGCCCTGCCCACTTAAATCCTATCTCATCTTATCTTTCCATTTATCTTTTCCATTTCTTCCCGTAACAGAAACCCGCCGCCTACTCTCCACCAGCCGGAGCTCTGGTCAGATGAGTTTAATGACTTCATCTGCAAGTGAGTGTGGCTACTAGTGTTTATCCTTCCTGTGTGAATAATAAATATTTACACAGATAACCCGCTGCTTTGAATATGAATCTGACAAATGCACTGCACTCCTCTTTCTGCCTCATGCTTGTTCTCCGACCTCACAGATGTCTGATTAAGGACTTTGAGCTGAGACCGAATGTGCAAGACCTGCTCCAGCATGTGTTCATCAAACAGACTGTCGGCAGAGAGAAAATCCTGCAAAAACAATTGATTGAGCTCATTGATCTCAACCAGCAAATTGGAGTGATTGAAAAAACAAGGTATTGTGTCCTTATGGCTTTTGTCTCTATGTTTTTGTCCCGATATCTCGCTGTATGAGCCAAATACGCCCGCACCGTAAAGTGTTTGATCGATTTTGATACAAAGCCCATGAAAAACCTAAAACATAACGCCCTTCCTGTCAGCGGTTGTTATATGCTAGGCTGTTGCTTAGCTTTTGCCGACAGTATAATCCAAATTACCCTCCTTGCTGGATGTTTTACAAGCCCTGTCACCCTCCCACAAAAAACAGGTCAATCCTGCACCGGCTGCACTTGAGCTGTAGGCTCCTTAGCATGAGTTAAAATGTTGCCCTTTAAAGTGAGTTTCTCCCTGTACAGTGATAACATGTCGATCCCGTTTCTGTCATTTAAGCCATCATGGAAAGACAGACAGAAGCTCAGACAGTAATGACAGGTAACTATAGAGGATGCTTTTGTGACGCAGTAGGAGCTTTTATAATTCAGTCAAAGCTCTTGTTGTAGTTGTGATTGCACACGTATATGCCATCAACTGCCACCCTGCCCTTCTTACATTGTTGTCTGTTGTAATGTTCAAATCATGTTATTGTCACTGTTTGTTCTGTTTTATGAGTTTTCATTTATAATACTGTAATGCCATTTGATGCTGTCAGTGGTTATGATATTTACTGTAAATCAACTACAGGAGCTTAAAAGCTCACTTGAGTTCAGCATCACCTATCAGATAAATGATGCTTCCGTAAAGACACAGTGAAATAGGATTCCTGGAACTTGACCCTGGAACGTTTTCAGGGATTGAGCCTCTGACCTTCCGATTTATAGATGACCTGCTCTACCACCTGAGCAGCAGCTTAACCTGTAGAAAGGCCATATCCCATATATGAGGTGTACTTCATACCATGAAACTTCTCAAATCAGACTGGTCTTAAAAATGTTAGAGCTTGAAAATAGAGGAAAACTAATTCATGCACATGAAGTAACGACCAACTTTTCTTAAAAGAGTTGGTGTCTGACAGTAACATCATGATGTGTTCTGCCTCACTTTCCCCAAAATAATTATTTTAATATTGATATTTTTGTTTACAGGCAGCATCCACAGCCTTCAGCTACACTCTTAAAACTGTATGTTGTTGAAATCATAATATAGTAACTAATATTTGACATGAACATTTGAGCGACCTAGCTTAAGTAGTTCTATAGCTCTTTGAAAATGGCACAGAAAGCTAAAATGTGACAGTTTTCCTATTAAAAGTCGATCATCTTGGAATTATTTAAGGATATCTGGGGCTGGAAGCTTGTGGTCAGCTGACATGGAATGACGGTTATGCATACAAACCCCCAAATTACAAAATTACTTGAACCCCATCAACAACACGTAAGTATCGGGAAACATAAGAGTCATGTTGTCTTTCTAAAAGTTAAATAACAATAAAGCTAAAAGCTTGTTCAGTAAATTATGTTCAGCACTAAATTTGCTGGCTTCCTGATATCACTTGTCAGTAAATGAACTGACTTGTGGTAATAAGATGATGTTGCAATTCCTACAATGGGTAATTGGAATCTTGTGGGATTATTTTATTCCCTTGTGCAGATTTAATCTCTTGAAAGACACATTTACTTTACTAAAAAAGATATGTTTACTAAACTTAAGTCACCCACTTCTGAAGTTTATCCTCCCTGTGGGACTATTTTTGTTTTATTTTATCCCTCTCTGTGTCTACTCTTTCCTTGATGAAAATAGAAGATGCTTGAATAGAGACACGTCCCTGAGGTTAGAGTCGTAGTCAGACCAGCGCGTCCCAGTAAAAGCTCCACTGTGAATGACCTTTCCTGGCCTCTGCAAAGTAGCGGGGCTCGCAGCACAAGTTCTAGAAGAATCTGCAAAATTTAACATTCATTTTTTCAGAGCATGCTCACTAAGCGATGTCATTGGTGTGTTCCAGGCATGAACGTATTCATACCAAAAAAGGAAGCCACATGAAGACACAGGATGCAGACGAGGTGGATGACCTCGCCACCCTTGAGGTTCTAGATGAGGTAAAAAAAAATATAATTAGGCTTTTTCACAGAATTTATTTTTTCCCCCTTCCTGGCTGCACAACATTAGATAACAAGTTAGAGTTAGGATGAAGTCACTGAATGCAGCAAACATTTTCTGGTGAAAAAGAAAAAAACCCAGAGAATTGATGGGAGTTAGAGCTGAAAATCTCTGCCTGTTTTATTTTTCTCCTTGAAAGCATAGGTAGTTTCTATTGAGATACATTTATGAATTTACAGCAGAGTGCTCTGCTCTCTCTCTCTCTTTGCTGATAGAGTTAATGTAGCTCACCCAACAGCCTCTTTCTCTCAGTCTTTCACTTTCATCTATTTTTTAATTGCACTTTGGTGTTTAATTGAAAGGATAACTTGTGCTGGCCTTCACAACCCACACCAAAAATAATGATAGATCAAGTACTGTTTTCTTAACTTACACACCCGTATGTACGCACAGATAAGTGGTATTAATAAAATATTAACTTTGTAATTACCTGCTAAGCCCAAGCCTGTCCCAATCAAAATTGGAATCCTGGCACAGCACTTAGCTGGAATAAAAAGGAAAAAATAATTTCCTTTATTTTTGCACTTCTAGATGGTAACAAATACAACAGCTAAAATTTTCATGTACGATATGATGGAGAAAAAAAATATTTGGTTTATTTGATAGATAGTGATTAATGCGTTTAAGTTCCAAAATGAGTTACAAAAGTATTTTACTTATAACAAGTCAGGTAAATTTAAAATATACACTGTAAAAAGCTGCCAACATGTTGTTCTAACATTAACCAAGAAAAGTCACCACATATTATTTCAATTCTGTTTAATTTAGTTTTATTTATATAGCACCAAAACACAACAGCAGTCACCTAAAGGCACTATATTTAGGGTAAAGACCCTACAGTAATAGAGAAAACCCCAACAATTAGATGGGCCCCTGCGAGCAAGCAACAGTGGGAAGGACAAACTCCCTTTTAACAGGAAGAAACCTCTGGCAGAGCCAGGCTCAGGGAGGAGCAACTATCTGCCACAAAAACAAACAAAAACTCCAAAACGAACATGGTTTTGTTTCCTTTTGCAGAGGAACATTTTTTTATGATATGGTGAATTCTATGTTTATTATATTCAATACTAATACTTTTATATTAAGATTAAAATTAGTGAGTGGTGTTTTTCCTGTTCGAAGTCCTCTTGTTGCATTGGACAAAATATATTGTCATGCAATATAAAAAGTCGCTTGAGTGATTAAACGACTAGTTTAGAAATGATAATCAAAAATGAACATTGATTGAACGTTTACTGCATCTACTGTGATATATTTGTATTTAAGCGCTGTTGAAGGTACACTATGTCACATTATGACATTTAGCATCATTTTTCCTAATTACCCATTCTGGTCTTTCAAGGACCAAAACAAAACAAAGCAAAAATACACAGCAGCATCTTTGACAGAAAGAACATTTGGAACAATTTATCAAATCTGAGGGATGAACTGACATATTGAATGAGTTGCCAGCGGATATTTCCACCCATCCTTCAAGCTGAAATGGGCTGCTGGTTTGATGGAAACGTTGGCAGAAACTAAACTTCTGTGGGTTGTTTTTTTATATATATAAATATAGTTCTGACTGTCATTTAACAAGCATCTCATACTGATATTTATTGTCTTTGTTTATTTTTTTTTTTCAGAACACTGTCGCGGATCAGCTTCAGAATCGCTATGGAAAAGATCAAATTTACACATATGTGGGAGACACCCTCATTGCAGTCAATCCTTTCCATAACATGGAGATATACACGCCTGAGGTCAGTGGAGATAAATAGACCTTTGTTTTATTTGGATCTGTGTTCTTTCCGTGTACATGCATCTCTACATTTGGTCAATAATGCAGTGAATGTAGCCCGGCATAGCTCATTAGAGCCTCTGCAGTTCTTCAGTCTGCTGCATCCCATTTGGCTTCAAACAGCGCACACACATTTTCACAGATACTACCGCTGTTTTTCTGCCTCGTCCATAACTCAGTGGCTCTATTTTCCTCTCAATTATCATGTTTTTGCCTCAAGTTTGTTGCTAATTTTTCATTTATGTCCTGAGAGAATATTACAAATCCGCTTTGTAAAATCCTTAATTTAGTTTTCTAAATCTAAATCTATATCTATTTTGTTGTATTCATTACACTCTTGAGCACGTCTTTAACAAGCTTTTATGTTTTTCTCCCTCTCTTCATAGCACACTAAGATGTACATAGGAGCTAAGCGTACAGCTAACCCACCACACATCTTCGCTGTGGCTGATACTGCCTACCAATCTATGGTGTCATACAATGCTGATCAGGTAATAAGCTCTTCAGTTATTACAAACTGGTTGAGTTTACTTGTTTAAGTGCTGTTCCACACGATGCCAGAGCAGCAGTTTGACAACACAGACACTAAAAAATACAGAAACCAGATACCAGAAGGTACCAAAAGCAGGTTCTGTTTTTTTTTAATTTTTTAAATTTATTTATTTTTTGCAGGGTTGGGGGGATTTTGTGTGTGATTTCGTGTGATGCTAATAATGCTAAATCTAGTTTGCTAGGATGGTTAGCATGGTGTGTCTAGTATTCGATATTGGAGAATTGGCAAGTGAATTAAGGCCTTTTGATTGGATCGTCTTTGGGGAAATTCAAGTACATCCTTTCTAAGAAAGAAAGTTTGCACAAGACTCTGAACAGTACTGTGAAAAATTAAATACACCCCACGATTCAATAGCTTGCAGAGCCAGTCTCTGTGGACGAACTTTAGCCCACTCTTCTTTACAGTGTTGTTTCAGTTCATTGAGGTTTGTGGTAGTGATGTGCGGATCGATTCTGAAATATCGATTCCTCCGATACCAATCATTTATGTTCTAGAATCGATTCTCACATTAAAATATCGATATTTTAGTAATTTAGGGTAAATTTGTAGTTTATCATTAACAGGAACACAGTGGAAAGAAACTATATCATTCAGATTGTCTACATTCAAAGGAATTACTTCCTCTTCCGCCTTTCATAGTCATTTGCGAAATTACGGCTGTATAAATGTCTCACAGCCGCTGGCTCACAACAATGGCTGAGCGTAATTGGAGTCATATGTGGACTTATTTTACCTCCACAAACAGCTGAGACGTGGTTTGCGATACATGTGGCAAAAAAGTGAGGTGTTGTGGACATACTAGGGAGACATTCAAAAAGGCTGTTGGGGGGGATAAATTCATTTCACAGTGTTTATTTATTGGATAAAATACGTTAAATGTCACCGTTATTATTGGCCGGCCCGGAAACAGCGGGGGTTTCCAAATTCAGAGGCTGCTTCCACCTGATGACCCGGAAAGCCGGGTAGTGCGTCACGAGCTCCCTCGGTGGAGTGAAACGCCGCCGTCTGTTCCTTGCTATCTAAAATATAACCTGGCGCTGGCGTGAACTCTCTACCATCTCACACTTCTGTTTAATCAGTTTTCTTTTTGACGTTTATTCAGCTGTGTGAAAACCCCAGAGGAACCCACCCAATGGATTAATAAAGTTAAATTTAATTTAATCTAATAACTTTAATCTCAGCCAAACCGATTTCCTCACGAACAAATCAAAAACTGGAAAAGCCAAACAACATTTTTAAGTTATCACAGTGACTTATATATCATGTTTAACCCGAGTAACGAAAGACCGCGGGGGTTTGAAAACAATGTGTCAGATATTTCAAGTTTACACAGCTACATTCTCACCTGAAAATATGTTAAAATTGGTTATGAAAATATATTAAAATT